TATAGTAGTCCGATGTGAATAAGCTTTTGCAAAAATGAAGGGAGCATAGTAAAATCTCTAAATGCCGTGTTTGTTTAAAAAATCTTGAGAGACAACAAATTTTTCATTCAAAAACTTAATTTTCGACCGATTGTTCCTTTAGCAGCTATTTGATATATTGGTCCGATGTAGATAGGATTTTGCATATATATGAAGAGCACAGTAAAACTAAGAAATGCAGAGTTTGGTCAAGATGTCTTGAAAACTAAGAAACGCAGAGTTTGGTCAAGATGTCTTGAAAAAGAAAATATCTTCATACAAGAACCTACTTTTCGACCGATCGTTCCTATGGCAGCTATATGATATAGTGGTCCGATCCAGCTGGTTCCGACATATGTACTCCGTGCAATAGAAAGAGGGACTTCTGCAAAGTTTCATTAAGATAGCTTTAACACTGAGAGACTAGTTCGCATAGAAACAGACAGACGGACATGGCTATATCGACTCGGCTGTTGATACTGATCAAGAATATATATACTTTATGGGGTCGGAGATGTGTCCTTCTATGCGTTACATATTTCACGACAAAATTATAAAACCCTCTGCAAGGGTATAAAAAGATATGCACTCTAAGCTTAAAAGTAATGTAAACGAGTAAGAGGTTCTAGTCGGGAGCTCCCGTCTAGGGGATACCCTGAACCCTCCACCTCCAACACCAAATGCAGCTCGCGGTACGCTCTCGATAGCTTTAGTAGTTATAAAGAAAAATTTTAATAAAACAAAATTGTTCCCTTGGCAAAGTTCGAACTCACAACTAACCGCCCCACCTGCCGCCGCCTCTACTCAAGAGCCACACCAATACTTGAGTCCCAGTGAAAAAAAAACCAATTTAAATAGAAGCACAGAAAAAAATACAATCGCAATTGCAATGCTGTTGATAGAATTCAAAGCAGACGCGCATGAATGTGTGTGTGTACATATATACAGAAATTCTTGGAATTTGCGCTAGCTGATGTTAACACGTGCATAACTTTTATTTCTTAACCGATCTTAATGAAATTTTCGACAGAACATCTTATTGTAAAATATAATATAGAATATTTGTGTATTCTCAAAAAGTCAATTGCATATAAATTGTTGCTTAAATTGATGGGCAATACAATTTGGTTTATTTACTTGATTTATTGCTTTGGGGTGGTAACGGGGAGGTGGCTATAGGTATAAAATAAAAGATACTTGATATATATATACTATTCTAGAAGCTACATGTCAAGTTTGGCGATTCTAGCTCTTATTATTTACCAAAATTTCTCAAAAAACAGGATTTCGATATCGATTTGTATCGATTACTTGGAAACGGGGGAAGTTATCGAATATCGGAAACAAACTCGATCTGCGAGGGAACTAGGAGGACCTAAAGCTAAAATTTCAAGTACTTGCTCTTATAGGTTCTGAGATCCTTGCGTTCATACATACGGACAGACGGATGGACAAACAGACGGACATGGCTAGATCGACTCGGCTATTGATGCTGATCAAGAATATATATACTTTATGGGGTCGGAGATGCTTCCTTCTGTCTGTTACATACATTTGCACAAAAACATTATACCCATTTTACCCATTTTAATGGGTTCAACTATGTAAATAAAGCTATGTTGGTAACAAAAAGAATAGGTTATTCAATTTTTAAGGTAAAAAAAGTAAAAAAAAAAATATAAATGAATAATATCAATAAATCGTGCTAAATGCCTTAACATCGTGTAAAATATATTAAAAATTTCCATTTTCAAACCGTGTTAAATCAAAACCGCGTAAAATAAAGTTATTTCGCCCTTTGACAAATGTTGCTGGTTGCCCTATCATAGGAATACAATTATTTCGAAGAATCTGTTTTACATTTTCTTGACGGCCCCATGGGCATGTTTAAAATATCGGTTGTCATGCGTTTTGTTTGGCGGAATGTTGCCGTCAGGTATGCTTTTATAAACTTGGGGTGAAAAATGCTAATATTGAGGGTTCACAGAAAATTGCATATATTACATCCTTCCCAACAATGTCACATACCCTCTGAACCAACTTTTCTCTATCTGTGAAATGTACTGGTTTTTAGAGGCCGAGTTTTTTTGCCAAACAATTCAATTTCCAGCGACTCCTCAGGCTGGGGGCGGCAGCCAGCTCAACGCTGTCGCCCATGCCAGCACCAGCTCCTCCTTGCCCGAAAAAGGGGCCAACAACAATGGAGGAAAGAAGCCACCTCCCATCGTCCTAAATCGCATCGACGAAATCAACGACGTGTGGCTCATACTATCCGAAGTAGTGGATCTGAATAGCTTGACCATCAAATTCTAGCAAATCACGTGCCCACATAAAGGGCCATTATACAGATACTGGAAGAACATGAAATTGAGTTCTACTCATACCAGCTGCAGGAGGAGAAGGCCTACCGCATAATAATCAAAGTCCTCCACCACGCCACACTCAACCGAGAGCTCACCGACGACCTGCGGAGCCAGGGCCATACCGTTCTCCACGTACACAATCCGAGCAGCAAAGCTACCAAGGAGCCCATGAACATCCACTTCATCAACTTGCAGCCGGCGGCCAACAACAAGGAGGCTCTTAACATCAGGAAGCTGTGCAAGCAGGTGGTCAAGGTTGAGACTGCTAGAAGAAGCCAGGATGTGGTGCAATGACATAGATTTCAGAAGTACGGGCACACGGCCACATACTGTAGAAAGCAACACAAATGCTTTAAATGCGGGCTCAATCATCGCTCTGCTGATTGCACACGGCCCGACTCAGTACCGGCAACATGCGTTCACTGCGGTGGTAACCAAACTGCCAATTATAAGGGCTGCGAATGGCTACCGAATATACAAAGCGTGCGGGGGCGCCAAAGCCCGCCAAAATGAAAATCTCACACCGACTCAAGCAAACCGAAGCCGCAGCAACAAAGTTCATGGGCCTACACCTGTTGACTTCCCCAGTACAGCACCCACTGAACAAGTAGAAAGGCTTTCATATGACGCTGCCACCAGAAGCGGACTAGCTGCATTCAGAAAAGAGAACAACGTCCCCGGCGCTAGCCAGCGAGAAGGACCAGCGCAAGCTAGGCTAGATAGATTGCTGAGGGAACAGCAACAGGAGAGACTGACTGCGCAACAAAAGCAACAGCAGATATCTGGAAACGGGGGAGGACTTTCCGATGCAACAAATGCAACAGCAGGTTTTGGGTATGCAACAGCAAATCCTTACCCTTTTAACCGCGTTACTATCCAAATGAACACACCACTGAAGGTGCTAATCTGGAATGCCAATGGCATTCTGCTGTAAAGTACTAGAGCTGGAGGCCCTAGTACAAAAACACGCCATCGGAATAATTCTGCTGTCAGAAACTAGAACCAACGGTCCTACTTTCCCCAAAATCTTTGGCTTCGAGGCATACCCTGTACACTGGACTCAAAATCGCTCAGCTAGCGGTGGCTGCGCTGTCCTCGTCCGGAGTAGCTTGGTTCATTTCCCGCAATTGAGTATTACTAATCGTGTTTACCAATATTCGACTGTGAAAGTCTCCACTGATGCTGGTAACGTGGACTTTGGAGCAGTCTATTGCAAGCCAAATAAGCAAACGGCAACTGATGATTTCAACGTCATACTCAACTCGGCTGGAAGCAGATATCTGGTGGGAGGCGACTGGAATGCACATCACTGGCTGTGGGGCGCAAAGTCAAAGTCGTCAAAGTCCTTCCCAGGGCTAAAGCACTGGGCCCTACCTGAAGGCCCTACCAATGCGCACGCTCCTTTTTATAACGTTGATCTTTAACGCCATATTAAGGACGCAACACTTTCCTGCCCAGTGGAAGTATGTGAGGATCCATATGATCCATAAGTCGGGAAACCCGGAATATGACCCTGAGTCATATCGACCGATCAGTCTCCTGCCTTCCTTGTCGAAGGTCTGGGAAAGACTGATTGTCGCCCGACTTGCAAGACTTATGGATCACATCGCCATCGCTTAAAAGGTTATGGAGCTCGTAGGCACCGAAATTGTTCATTGTCCAAATTTCAACTAAATCTAAAGAACATAATTTCTTTAAATGCAAAGTACTGTCACTGTATGTGTAATTGACGAGGCCGCTTTCCTTCGGAGCGAAATTTCGCACTGTTCGGTAAAAAAACTTAATAATATAATCGGTTCAATGTCTAAAACCTTTTCTTAGAAATTAAGAATGGAATGAGACGACTGCGACTGGCTATGCCTGGGCGCTGTTTGGCTGTCACGTCTAATCACGGTCGATCGGCGGGTCATGTCAGTCCCACGAAGATCGCCCCTGTCTACGATCCACCATGGAGTCAACATTCGGGATGAGTAGGCTAGTTTTAGGACACTCCAATCTTAGCCCGCTTACGAGCATTGTCGGTGGGAGCCTCCCAACGTTAAGCTAAGATTAAATGGCAGCGGATGTCTGGCCTTGTGTAAGAAGCGCGATTCCGCAAAAAAGCAGCCCTCAATTCTCTTTTGGGAACACTGATGAGCTGGCATATCTCAATATGCGCTTGAACTTCGCCACGACGATCAATAATTTTTTATTGTGTCACGATGAGTGCGCCAAACTATACATCGCCACCAGCCATATTGGCTACGTACTGGTGTGCAATAAACACTTACTTACACTTTGTATCACAACCGCGCACTATACCGGTGCACTATGAACTATGCCGGCACTAAGTACTACGCTTTCCAATTAACTTCGCATTTTGCGTTGCTTGCAGGTCTGTGGCCGACTGACTCTGCTGCGCTCGAGCCCATCACCGCTTATTTTGGGGCCCACTGCGCAGTTAACAGCGCAGTCATTCTCTGCCTTGCTTACTGGCTCCTCTGCCATGCGTTTGCGATATTTCTCTGCGTCGACTGCGCTGTCTGCTGCTCTTGCTCTCTTATCAACAAATGACCAAAACAAATCTAGCCGGCCGACTTAAATTTAACAATAAAATTTATACTTTTTATTTATTTTTAGACTGTGGATTTTCGAATGAAGAAAATCGCATTGTCGGTGGAAAACCAACAGGAGTAAACCAATTCCCATGGATGGCTCGAATCATTTATGATGGCAAATTTCACTGCGGAGGATCTTTGTTAACAAAAGACTACGTTCTTTCAGCAGCTCATTGTATAAAAAAATTAAGAAGATCCAAAATTAGAATAATATTCGGCGATCATGACCAACAAATAACGTCTGAGTCTCAAGCAATCCAACGTGCGGTAACTGCTGTCATAAAGCATAAAAACTTTGATTCCGATACCTATAACAACGATATTGCTTTGTTGAGACTAAGGAAACCGATAATATTTTCGAAAATAATTAAGCCAGTTTGTCTTCCTCGATATAACTATGATCCAGCAGGTATTTATCTATCAGAATATACGTAAGATTAGTTTTTATTTATATATGACTGTTTTTCATGACTGACAGATAGGTCCTAATAGATCTTATTAGTTGTTATTCTTTATTTTGAATATTAATCATTGAGTGTTAGTAAAAACTGAGAGTTTGACAGAAACCACTGTTATTTAATATCATGTCTTATTCTTAAGATTTAAGATTAAAGAGAATGCCTAGGTCGTTAACATTTAGTATATGTTGCAGTGGAGTAATATCGACAGTATAACTCACAAGATAAGTTTGAACACTTTGAACAGTTTAGATGCAATTGATTGGCCGAAATCCTTAGAAAAAGAGAGGGTGGGAACACAAAAAAGACCAAGTTTAACGAGTAATAGATCATGGTGCACAGAGTCAAATGCTCTAATTCAGACGGTGTAATTGACATCAGTTTGCATTTGCATCAGTTGGTCAAAGCTCACCGATTCTTTACGAATCCATGTTGAGCAGGAGAGACAATTGATTTGCAGAAATACTGCAAAGTCGAAGGGAATTTCTTTTCAAATATGCGAAGATTTAAAAGTACATATAGCTGAAAGAAGAGAGGAATGGGAAATAGTATGATCAGGTATTGAACTAGAGGAAGTTACATTATAAGGGTTAGACATTGTAATATTTGACTTTTATTTAAGCTACTATCGATCAACTTCTTTGCATGTAAGTTAAGTTAACCTATGTCTATATTACTTTTATGATGAAATAGCCTACTAAACTTCTTGTGAAAGTACCTAAGTTGAACAAAGATAAATTAAGAACACAAAAGTGATTTCGGAAGTTGTCAAACTGAGCATTAAAAACGACCAACTATCAAACGTCATCAGTTCACGAAAAAACGTCATTCAGTCAGCAGTGCAACAAGCGGGTAATATGAAGTTAATTCGGCAAATGACAAACTACAAGTGCGGAAAAAACTCTACAGTGCAAGTATAGAGGAAGTATTTTCCAGCAATTCGCAAATACAGATCCTAATAAGTCCGAGGCAACAGCGAGATTAAGCAAGTACTTATTAATTATTTCGATGGCAAACGAAACATTTACGCAGAGAGTTTCAAAGCTATTTACATTGAAAATCGCAGCCCTCGCAATAAGGCAATCGCGATAGAAGACAAAGCTGAATATTCCAGGGAACTGTTACTACGATCAGCAAAAAGGGTTAATGACAACCAAGCTGTAGATACGGATTCTACATGCAAAATGGGAAAATCGCTAATCAGGAAGAAGCCTTAAGCGGATTGAATCAAGGAAGCTTATGCCAAGGAGATCGATGAGCGAACATACCGGAAATTTGGCAGCAAACAATGGAAGCCACATTCAAAAATATTCCAAACGTACGTAACTTTTTTGACGATATTTTAATATTTGCAAAAGATGTTGAAAAGTACCTTAGAAACAACATCAAATATTAACAGAACCTGGGACACATGATTGACACAGAAGGCACATATAAATTAAGTTAGCATATTGAGGTCAAATTAAGAGCACAGAAACGTTCTACAATCGAACACTGGCAACTTTTTCTTGTAAAATAAGCTACTACTCAAATTTCAAACCAAATCTGTCAACATTGGAAAACCCGCTGCGTGATGTACTCAAATGACGACAAGTCTACATGCGAACATGCTAAGCGACCTCTAAAATGCTCCGATCACTATTAGGAATACCCCAAGTCGCCATGGGAGCGCATTCACATCGACTACGCGGACCCATTTGAAGGTGCGATACTTTTGATTGTTACAGATGTACACTCAAAATGGTTGGACATGGAGATCACCAAATCATTTACGGAAAGCGCAAAAACAACCACATAACTTTTCTTCGGTCGAAAATTACGTAAGCGACTAGATTTCATCAGGCCGGAAACCATCAAGGAAAAGGTATAACAATAAATACTATATAAGATATATCAACCAAATCCGAGTAGGGAACAGAGCCAATCAATGCCAACAGAGCAAAGTGTAACCAAGAATGATATTCTCAACAGTCCCTTAGAAGGGGAAGAAATGTTCTGTTTGACTTTCATTTAAGCACTAACTATACAATGCATAGATATTTAAAACAGCAGAATAATCGGAACACGATAAATCGCAACGAGTGAGCCCCATGGGTGCCCGCGCTTATTTTAGTGTGCCCAGATAGAGTAAGACTGCTAAGAGTGGCAGCCGAACGCCGGCCTCGAAAGCCGAACGTTCAGTATTAAGCCGCATCTCGTTCAGCGCACAGCGTTGCTGCGGCTGATACCATTATGTTTTTTTTTTTTGTATTATTATGCTTAGTTATTTAGCTTAGGTTATAGTTGGGGTATTGTTTAGGTAGCGTGGATTGCCTGCGGAACGGCCGCGAAGCATTGCTTCACAGGCATGTTCTTGCTACCTAAATATCCGCGGTTCTCCGTCTGCTGCGCTCAACTCCACAA